CCCCCCCCCCAAGTACGTCTTTTCTTAAAATATGGTTTCCAGAATACAGAACTACACGGGATTGTTGTGAAACTTTTCATAAACGCCCCTCCCCCCATGCTTTTCTTGGCATAATCTCACCCCTCTCCCATTTCTAGGGCTGGGCCTACAAGAGCCTCTTCTATAGCTTTTGCCTTACAAAGACTTACTCCCTCTGGCTCTCCCTGCTGGCTTGTTCTCCTAGCTATTCTGTCTACTTACTTTCCCTAAGTTTCTTGCCTGGTGTTGGGAAGGCATATATGCAGTTGAGCAAAGAAGATTTAAAGATTCCTTAAAAACCTTGCTGGTGGTTTGGTTATTTCCCTCCACAGCTACCTGACTAAACAGTTTCCTTCCCCAAAATAGGTTTCCTGGTGGTGAGAGAGACCCTGTATGGGACATGTACCCCTGCTCCAGCACCCAGACAGAAGGAGTTGTTACAGGGCTTTTGAGCATGAGCCCCTCTATGGAGCTTGTGGAAGAGCTCCCAGGAACCTCCCCAGGGGCCCCACAGGAAGCTGGTTTTCTGTCACACTCAAGGGACATCCTGGGCAGCGAGCCACATCCGGAAACAGAAGCTGCATGACTGTTTCTAACCGTCTGATGGACCCTCTCCTGAGGGCCTGTGTTTGGGCAGCATTTAGCTCAGGCTGCCTCTGGTCTCTGTACCTCTTCTTTCACACCCTCTAGCCAGTGCTGTCACATCTGTCCATGCATCTAAGTATCCTCACAGTTTGTTACTGAGCAGAAGTCATGCAGGAATTTTAAAGCTCTTGTTTAAAGGGAATTATGGGGAATGATGATAATAGGTGTTTTCTAAGTACTTGCTACATTCCACAGCCCTATGAGGCAGGCACTGCCATTGTTCCTTCTGCACAGGGACAGTGAGATAGAAGCTGAGTAAAGTTCCCGAGTCTCACAGCAAAGCCAGGGTTTGAGCTCAGGCAGCCAGGCCCCACCCTGCCTCTTAGCCACTCCCCCCACCACCTTCAGCACCTTTTGCTTTTGTAGCAGTGACTGCAGGCTCTGCAGACTGCTGAGCCTTTACAGCCCTCTGCCCATCTGCACCTAGGCCCATGAACTGGCTTCTCTGGGTGGAGTCCCAGAGGCTCCAGGAGTTTCTGTCACTCCCTGCTTGGCTGCCTGAGAGCACAAGCCTCTGTGACATGAAGACAAGCAATGCTGCTGGGCTGGCGGGCAAGTCCTTGGGTCAGACAGGCCCCATGGAGTCCTGGGCCTAAAGGTGGCTCAGGATCTGTGTGTGGGTGGGCCAGGACATGAGCCATTGAGTGACTTCCCAAAAAAGGCTTTGGAAGTCAGCCTCCCCACTCAGGACAGCTCCAGGTATGTGGGGCCCACCCTGCTTGTCTTCCTGGGTTCCTCTGAAACATTGGCCTGTCCTGGCACACCTGTGTGTGCAGGAGGCCAGATGGGAGTGAGACACCTGAGTGGCACTACTGCAGCCTGGAGTCCATGCAGTGGTCATCAGGCTGTTGCAGCTGTGCCTGCAGTCCTGACATGGGAGAGCAGACCTCTCAGCTGCCTCTTTTGCTGAGAAGCTGCCCAGCACCAGCCCCGGGACAGACACTGGCAGAAACCTCCTGTGGGAGAAGTGAGCACTGTTCGTCTGCTGTGGCTCTCAGCACACCATGGTGATGATGCTGGAAACTAGGCTGTGAGCCGAGCTACCATGTGGACACCTGGCTCTGCCTCTCGCTCCTCAGGGACTGTGACATGGAGACAAGCAGTGCTGCAGGGCTGGTGGGCGAGTTGGGGGGTCAGGCAGGGATCTGTGTGTGCCTTCTCAATACTCCCAAAGTTCCCCTGCCTCCTGCTAGAGAACAATGGGGCACCCTTCACACCAACCTGTGTCTCTCATTAGAGGCGTGCTCCTCTGGAGGCCTGTACTGGGCCCTGCATTCTGCTGATGACATGGTGATGGCTCATCCCCATGTGGTCCTGTGTCCTTTCCTTCTGCATGTGTTTTTACAGCTTTATTGAGAGACAGCTCTGTTATTAAAGTATACAATTCTGTGGTCCATAGTATATGCACAGCACTGAGTAACCAATACTGCAGTCAACATTAGTACATTCTCATCACCCCAAAAAGAAACCTCATCCCCACTGGGAGTCAAACTCTATACCCCGCAACCACACAACCTCCAGCCTGCTTTCTGTGTCTGTGGATTTGCCTGTTCTGGACAGTTCACATAAATGAAGCCATACTATGTAGTCCTTTGTGATTGGCTTCTTTCACTGAGCATGATATTTTCAAGGTTCCTCCAGTGGTCACATCTGTCAGCACATGCTCCCTGTTATGACTAAGTTGTGGTCCATCGCAGAAATAGACTGCAATCCGCATGCTCAACACCTGTTGATGGCCACAGGTTGTTTCCACTTGGCTATTGTGACTGGTGCTGGGTGAGCACTCGTGTGGGTTTTTCTTCATCTTCCCCATTATGACCATCCAGATAGCACTTCCCTCCAGAGGCTAGGTGAAGTAAGAGGCTTACCCCGGCTAATAGGCAAAGCATATCCTGAAACTGGTGAGAGGGACAGACCTGGAATCCTCACTGGAGCACGAGGGGTGGGTGCATGGTATCTCCTTTGCATGCCCAACGTGATGCCTGGTGAGCCCTCTCACTGGGTGCAGGACGTGACAAATGGGCCCACCTCCTTACTTTGCAGGACAAGTGTTGTCAGAAACACTGCACTGCAGGCGTCTGGCCTAGCTGAGCCTACTCCTGTGTGCAGACGTTAATGAGGTGACCAGCCACGTGGTGGCATCACCAGAGGCCAGCATGTAGGAGGAGGGCCTCCAGTTGGGCACAGGAGGGACTCTGGATCCCCCTTGGCTGCCTTTTTCTAGAAGAAAGTGAATATGATGGTCAAGGGAACTCTGACCCCTTAGCTTAGCCGAGTCCCCTGTACACTCAGGAACATTCTCATATCCCTGTGTCCTGTCCAGCTCCTGTTCCCACCACAGCCCAGCCCACTCGACTTACACAGGTGAGAGTAGAGGGGTGTGCGCCCTGGTTCCTTGCAGATTCCTTGCAGTCTGCAGAGTTACCACCTTTCTCATGCGTCTGTGCCCAGCCATGATGGGACTGAGCCCATGCTCTTCTAGGGCTATGGAGGCTCCATTTCAGTGTCTCCAGTTCCAGGTCCTGTGTCGCAGCTAAGCAGTCCCCATGACACTTCCTACAAAACTGAACCGAGATGGTTCTGTGGTCAAGCACCTCCCTCTCACCCCTCTGACCTGCTTTACTCCCTGATTAGCAACAGGCTCTTCTGCAGTGTGGGAGGTGGTTGTAAATTCCCACTGAGGGGTAGAATGGGCAGGAGGGCTCACTGCACATGCAGCCTACCCAAGACGGAGCATCTCCAGGCAGCGCTGAGAGCTTGGCTGCAAGGAGCCTCAGATGCCTACGTGTATGCCAGAGCCAGGAGTATCATTGCTGAACAGTCCCTCCTGTCACTGTGCCTTCATTCAGGCCTATCAGGAGAGCCCGTCCTACCTGGGGAGATGGCACTGTCCAAGGCTGGTGATGCTCACCTGTCAGCTTTGGCCCTGCCCCATCCAATGAGTCCTGAGGCCCCACTATTGTCAGTGATTCTACTTCCCAGAGCTTAGTGGGTGGAGGGTCTCCAGCGTCCCCTGTACTGTCCGTCCACATGTTTCCTGAGCCCCCTGAGGTGTTATCTGGCAGAGAGACTGGCAGGCTGGGACCAGGGTCATGGAGCCAGCACAGGTCCTAGAGAGCCACAGCTGCAGCTCTACCCAGTTCCAGGATACAGCAGAGGGTCCCAAGGGCCCATGGTTGGGAGGGGTTCTAGGGTCATCTTTTAGCCAAATGGTGCCCATCCAGCCAGTGGGATTCAGGCTCATAAGTGAATCTCTCCAGAAATGCACAATTGACAACAGAGGTGAGTTGCCCTGCGTGTGCTGCAGCAGGCCGGCCTGTGACCTCAGGCCCATGTCCTCTGCCCCCTGCAGGTTCTGTGGGGAGTGCCTCCAGCCGTGTCTGCAGGTACCATCCCCCCTGTGCCCACTGTGCCGCCTGCCCTTCGACCCCAAGAAGGTGGACAAGGCCGCCCAGGTGGAGAAGCAGCTCTCATCCTATAAGGCACCCTGCCGGGGCTGCAACAAGAAGGTACCCCGCCCCAAGGTGTTCCCTTGGACCAGGAGGGGGCTTTTTTGAGTTCTTGGAGCCCTGGTTCCGCCCTCCAGCAGAGGAACTGGGCTCTTCCCTTTCCTGTTGAGGACCTTGCAGCTCTGCTCAGCCCCTCCTCCACAGCACCCAGCACTTCCAGATGGCCCTTCCTCTTGTCCCATGTTGCGTCCCCCCAACTCCACTGCCTGGCCTGGGCTCTGGGTCACTTTGCATTGTGGCCAATGTAGGGACATGGGGTGGGCTGAAACCCACCCCAGACACAGCCTGGACACTCCAGTGATCTGCTGCTCACTGAAGGCTTTGATAAGGGGAGAGGAGGGCAGCTGGGGGCTACAGGCTGAATGGAGCACATTGCTCTGTGGCCTCTGTCACCCACCCGGGCCTGCCTTAGGCATCCTGCCCCAGAATCCACCATACCACTGTCCTTACACCCACCACTCCCCAGGACTGGGAGGCCCTGCCTCCTGGTGGACGGGGCTGGAACTGATTTTGAATTTACACATTCTGACGTTGCCATCTCTGTAGTTAACAAGTTTTACCAACTTAGCACAATGGAAAGCAGCCTCTGGTTGTTCTGCCCTAAAGGTGAAAGGTCTGAACTTCCAGGGCTGCCCTGAGGACCTCTGGGAGGGGCTACTGAGGCTTCCTTCAAGCTTCCATAGCCCTTTCCCCGCTTCTCCCCTTGATCCTGGAGTTTCACATGTGAAGCGGCCCTGCCCTTCACTCCATGTCCCCAACCCTGGGCAGAGCTGGTATTGGAAGGCTATTCCTATTACCCTAGAAACCTGGGTCGGTTCTTGGCCCTAGAGACAGTGCCCTGTGCTCATGGATGCAGCTGTGCCTCACACGCCCTCTCACTGCTTCGTCATTTCTGTGAACTAGTCTCCTGTTTGTGAAACATTTATTCTCCAGCCTTTTGGCATTGGCCACATGGCAGGAAGGTGGTGGTCACTCCCCAGGGGGGTTGACCAAGGTTATCCATCACCATTCCCCTTCCCCTCGCCCTACTCTGAGCTGGGACCCCCCCCCCC